TGGTAAAGTTATTTCTGGTAATTTTATTGCTTCATTCAATCTTTTATATAATCTCATTAAATTCCCTAAATACATATACATATTTCCTTTATGAACAACTGTATTTTATTACTCTTTTTAGAAAATAGTTCCCAATACTATTCTAGTATTTTACTGTCTTCACTGTGCTGAAAAATCATATTGAGTGTTTGTACCTTTGGTTTAAAACTATACTTTTTATGACATATCTCATTTTCTTTGTTTTACTTTTAAAGCAATTCTCTTAAGTTTTTCTTCTTGCTTTATTTTTTCCAGCAATTATTATATATCATGACTGTGATATTATTCACAATATTTTGTTCTTGCTTCTTGTAAATTCAATATCTTTCTGAATAACTTAATATATAATACTTAAATTGCTTTTCTTTAAATATCCATTATTTTATTTACTGTATAATTAGTTTTTTGCTTAATCTTGCTCTATTTTCTCCACATTATAAGATTTGTTAAAATCCTTGATGATATTGTTTTTCTATCTTGGAAAAAAACTAGATCTTATAAAGTTCATGAAATTTTTGGTATACTTGTGGAAATATCCAAATGGGAAATTTAATTTTATATTAATGAAAAAGTACTTACTAGAAAGAAACCCTAAGTGTCAGAATATGAAGCCCGTTTACTGAGATGTTCTTCAAGTATTGATAGTAGTTGTGGAAAGGAATTTATATGATCAGAATTTAATTATTTTCTAGTTTTTGCCATTACTTCAATATAGTACCTGGGTTGACTAGAGTGTGTAAGTTTGAACCTCTCCAGAGTCCGACAGCCTGGTTATTGAAACTATAATCACCTTGAATCAGTCAATGCTTACTAGAGAAACATTTAATGCAAGATATACAAAGATATAGAAGTTATGAGATTGGCTTATAATGACTGCCCACAGAATCAGGTGTGGAAGAATCCAAAAGTGCTGTGTGCATCCAGTTGAAGGCTGGAGCTCACGGGATTCCCCTGAGAATCAGTATCAAGAGGCCGACTGTCTGCAATGGGAAGGCTGAAGGGCCTGTGCTGGCTGCTGCCGAGTCTGTGCTGCAAGCTGGGAGATGCTGTCAAAGGTGAAGGCGAAGACTGGAGCTCCTCTGAAGAACCCGAGGAAGCCTTCTTTCTTTGTTTCCCTTTATACCATTCTAGTGACAATCCTCCCTACAGTGGGTCTTCCACACCCAGAACTATGGTGATCCAATTTAGTTGGATATTTCTTACTCAAATTGATACAATCAGTTAACTATTACATACCTCCATTCTTCTCATTGCTCGCTGATACTGTTACACGTATCTATATCATCTATATCTATATCTATTTATATCTATATATTCACATCTATATCCATATCGCTCTGTCTATCCATCTGTCCATAGATTTCTTTCTCTATCCATGAAAATTTGGAGTCGGAGAAATAAATGAGTGATTTAAAAAAAATGTAAGCTAATAAATTTCTTAATTTTCTGTGTAAATTTCTAAGACTAATGAGTAGAAAGGAAATAAAATTGATTGCAAGAAAAAAAAGAACAAAAAGTAAAATGGAAGTAAGAGTTTATTCATTTTAGAAAACTAGTCTCTTATTTTGCACATTAAAAGAAAGATTATTCCACCATTCACTGCGAAAGCACTAAGGATGTTGAAAAATTTATTGGAGCTTCAGAAATAAGGAAAAGTGATGTCTCTACTATTCAAGTAGATATTTTGCCAGAAAGTTATATTGTTTTCTGGAGAGGATGCAGTGTTTGTAAGTTGAAAAGAAAACCTAAGAAGGTTATAGGAGAAAAAACAGTGGACTTATTGACAAAATTTTCTTGTGAGAGGTTTGCTTAGGTATTGCAGTGACCTTGGTCTTTCACCACATGCACCATCACCCAAACTATGAATGCCTTCGGTCTTTAACTCCACTGTGCACATTTTCACATCCCACTTGAACCATGAACAGGCAAAGTGAAGACATCTCTTAGGATTGTGTCAGAACAGAGGTCTAATGTAGATTAAGAAAAATGTTCTTCCTGTCAACTGGAACGTTTAGGCAAGCCTTGATCATGATTTAATGAAGAGGAATAAATGTTTATCTGGGAAAAGTTTCATATCTGAAAAACAGAGACTCCTTAATGAATACCATCTTGAGAGTTCATCTCCTCCCACTCTGCCGGCTGTGACCGGTGCCTCATTTCAATCCACCCAACATCAACATTCTTGTCCTACATTTCAGCTCTTTCCAGGCCACTTGGCAGCACTTAAAAATATTAATTGATATAACGAATTTCCCTCAGGAGGTAGCATTTCATCGGGCTATTTCTGTCAACAAATTGTACACATTTTCAAGAATCTCAGGAGTCATGTATTTTTCACAAAAGGGGTGTATTAAAATAAAAAGAAGATACTTCTACTGCACACTGGCAAAAAAGATATTATAATTTCTCTGAAAAGATTTTTGAAGGCCCTGGGATTTGAGTTGGTTGGATTTCTCAGCTGTAACTTGAAAAGTGTATTGCATAGCAATTAACAGAAGTCTGGCCTTGACTAGAGGGGCTACAAGCTAAATATTACCAATTCACATCTCACTTTTTCTTACACCTTCCTTCTTCCTACTATGTTCAAAACAATAATTACAACAAAAATTAAGAGAAACAGTAGAACTAATGACCATGAATAGAACTTCTATATGTCAACAAAAATTGTAAGATTTTAGATGACTTTGTGGAACCTCAGTGTGCATGTTAAGAAAACTTATACTTAAGAAACTGTGAATTATAATTAATATGTTGACTTTGAACTTCAACCTCTAATTTAGAACATTTGTACAAGAAGCTTACGTCAAAGGGAACTTGGAAATGGATGTCAATTCAAAGTAGTTAGAAGTAGCACATTTATAGGGCTATAGTGCTTTATGAGTTTCTGACCCATGAATGAAGGAACCTGAAGACGGAGATCCAGGTAGAGTTGTAGAAGCAGCAGAATTGCTGCCACAGGCCAACAATATGGTGTGTGAGCTGAGCAACCAGGGCACTTGGTAACTACTGGTTTGCTTCCATGTCTAAGTTATACATCTTGTGCAAATGTCTTGTGCCCCACCCTAATCAATTGGCAACAATGAAAGTTTGCAAAATTGCACCTGTGCATTCTTTCCTATTTATGAAGTTGCTATACTGAGCAGTAGCTGAGTAATTAAGATCTCACTACCATAGATGTCATTATTAGAACCTTCTTGGTGCTCTCTAATGGGAAGTCAACTATGACGTTTTATTGAAGAGCATCTTATGAATTTGTGCACCTTATCAGCAGCTAGTAGTTTTTTTGATAGCATGGCAATAAACAGTATACTTTATAGCTATAAAATGAAAAATACACTTATGCTTATAAAAGCTTCTATCCTTTTCTCCGGTCTTTCTCTATTGCATTTATGTGTGTGTGCACACACACAATGCACACACAGCACATATCCTGAGGTAACAATATATATTACTTCAACATTAAAGAGAAAAACTGTTCTGGGTGAGTGTATTTAAAAAAAGTACTATGAATGTGCACAGAGATGATACATGTGCAAATAAAATGAAAGGAATGAAAGGAATTTGGTTTTGATCTAATAGTTTCATTGATTTTTTTCTAAGCAAGATTATAATTACCTGCACAAGAGCTTAAAATAATATGAGCAGTTATCTTATTAGATGAATATGTTATTTGTACTCTATATGGAAATTAGCTTGTGTGTTTTGACTTTATGCATGAGGCTTGGACCCCCTGGGTATCCTTGGGGACCAAGCACAGCTGATTTCTTCATCTGTAAGGCAGAAGTCTGACAGCCACAGATGTGAGCCACTCCAGCTTTAGGTGTGAAAGCTGCTTTGTGAAGCCAGAATTCAGGCAATTAAGGCAGCTCCCTCCTGGTAAGCTGGTAGTTAGCCAGGGCACCATCAATGCTGCCCACACGGCTTCAGGCAGAGGGCTTGGTGAGATAGAACACCTGAAGCCACTTGCTGGAAAAGAACAAAGACTTAAAAAATAAAATGTTAAGGAGCTTTGTTTTAAAAATAGTTTTAGCTTTTAACTCTGTATTCTACAAACAGGGCAAGATAAAATGTAAAGAACCCAAACAGTAGCATCAGTAATCATGTATAACTTCTTAGAATTACTAAACACATCAATTGTGCATTGTATATGATATATTATATATTAATCATGGATTTTATCACATCTTAGTTTTGACAAAAATAATCAAGTAAATTCTATATTACAATTGCTATTAGAAGTTAGGAAACTGGGCTCAGAACATATCTGTTTTTTTTGGGTTTTTTGGTACCAGGGATTGAACTTGGGTCCTTGAGCTTGCTCAGCAAGCAGCAAAATAACTGAGCTAAATCCCTGGCTAACATATTTGTATTTTACTGTAGATTATATACCTAGTGAGTGGACAAAATCCTAGATGGAAACCAGAGTTCTATCACTTCAATCCCATGGCTTTCAAGGTTCAAAGCAGACAAAACACAAAGGAATTAGTAAAAGAAATGGTGCATTTAACTTTCCTCTCTAGTACAGTGTTTCTTAAAATTTGCCATGGCTTTAGCATATCACTTATAAAACTAGTAGCATTATGTCTTTATTTATTAGTTAAGAGTTCCTAGTAATTATGAATCTACATTTAGCAGTTTGCCAGACTTTGGAAGATAAATTAAAATTGTGATTAGTCCCGCTAATAGAAATATTATCTTGTGTTCTAGATCAGGAGAAAGTAAATGGGAAATGAATTCTGAGTAACGTTATTATTAGGAATTTTGCTAAATGCTGGTACATTTTGTCACTGAAGAATTCTAATAAGGTTAGACAGATAGGATGTTGTTGCCTTTATGAGTCACAGTTCCACATAACAAAATGAATGTTAAGGAACCTCCTCCAAGGTCATGGAGAAAGTAAGTGGTTCAGGGGGAAACGGACTATTGTCCAGTCAGAGTATAAAGATGAAAAAGAAGACCAGCTGTTGTGGCTTGTGTCTAGATGTCTCCCCACAGGCTCTTGCAGGGTTTTTCCAAGGTAGCTGAATTTTAAATGTGTGATGCTAGGACTAAGGGTGTGTGATTACTACACCACTACACGTGATTGATTTGGCGTCACCCTAATCCCGGTTATCTGAATAAGATAAAAGGAGCAGAAAGTCACTGTGAAGGTCCCTCCTTACCTTTGCTACCTTGTGCACACCGTGTTGTTTCTCCTCTGCTTGTTTTTCCTGTTTGCCATGCCTGTCTTGGAGCCAGCTGATTACGAACGGAAACCCCTACAAACTGTAAGCCAAATAAACCCTTTCCCCTTTAACTTTTGGTGCTGGGTATTTTGTCTCAGCAATGAGAGAAAAGTTACTAACACGCCAACAAAATATACTGTGTCTACTCTTTGTCATGTGCCCTACTCTGTCCTTTTCATGTATCATTATGTTTTCTATAACAATTCTGGAAATTTAGTAACTATGCAACTCTACATTTTTAAAGATTCCACATTTAAGGGAGATCCTGAAATAGTTTTCTTTCTGCGCCTGGATTATTTCTCTTAGCGCAAATGCCCTTCAAGATAATCCATATTCTGGCAAATGGCAGGAAAAACTCTTTATTTTTAAGACTGAATAATATTCATATACATGCACATGTGCATGTATGTATACCACTGTTTCATTATCTATTCATCCCCTGGCAATTATTTAGGTTGTTTCATGTCATAAGTATTGTGAATAATACTACAATGAATATAGGAGTGCACTGTACAATTAACAGGTATTCATTTTCTTTGTAGTTCCATTTTTAATTTCTTTTGCAACTGCTATTGTATTTTCCATAATGGCTGCACTGATCTGCATGTCCACCGGTGCAGATCAAAGATCCTCTTTTCTCCACAACTTTGCTAACCATTGTACATAGCTCATTTAGCAAGTAAAGAAAAAAACCATATTAACTTAGTTTGTTTAAAATTCCAAGGCTAGTATTTGACAAGTAAAGAAAATGAGTATTTGACTTCAAGGTTTTTGCTTGTTCCACAAATAGGTACCTCAGATTCCTTACTGTACACATAAAAATTTAAACAACACACAGTAAATAAATTGCATTTTCAGGACAATAGAGTAAAAAGAATTCTTAGAGCAGTAAAAAACTACTAAGTCGTCCACTACTTGCTACTAAAGTAGGATAAGTTTTATGGGCTTTCCATTAAGGCTAAAATAACACTGCACTTTGAGTTTTCACTCATTCTTTGACAATTTTCTTGTAAACTTAAGTTTACATGAAATATTCATCAGAAAAAAATTTTTTTGTACCAAGCAGGAAATGTATTCATTACATCATATTAGGTATGATATATGATGGATTCCAAGATGTGTTACTCTAAATGAAAGAGAAAAAAAAATGCATCAGGAGAATTGAATCAAATATGCACATCACTACACACAAAAGTAAATCAAACAATAACAAGTTTACATAAAATGCCTTTCGTTCAAAAATTTCTACATTCATAAAATCAATTATTGTATCTAGTCATATGACAATGTTTAATATTCTACTACTTCACTTCCTAAAGATTGAAACTTGGATAAATACTATTAATTTAATACATTAATACTATTGATGATAACAAAGTTTAACTACTAGTAATAAAGTTCTCAGTTTCACCATGTGATGATATGGTTGCTTTAATTTTATTTCTTTCTGAAGAGGAATTATGCATTTGCAGTCACCTTTATCTCCAAAAGGTGGAGCTTAATTCCTTGCACACACAAGCTTTCCTCACCTTCAGACCTGGAGAATAAGATTTATAGGCTCTTCACATCTAAAGAACAGAGCATGGAAAATGAAAAAAAACCTAACTTTAAAGCTGTGGGAAACTATGAGAAACATTTCTAACCATGGGATGAACCAAGTATGTGAATCAGTGATGTTGTGAGTGTGATGTAGTCTTGATGTACGGTGAAATCAGAGCACTTCACCTCTATGATATTCTTTCTAAACCCATAGCCCTGTACTAAGCAAAAGAAAAGCAACTGACTAATCTAGATTGTAGGTTTTGTAGAGAGGATACTCTACCAGTCCTCCTGAAAACTGTCAAGATTATTTTTTAAAAAACAGAGAAGACTGAGAAATTGTGACTTTAAAGACCAAGGAGAGGGGACAAGTAAGAGTTGTAAACCATTTGAGTTAAGATCCCCCAAGAGAAAAAAATCATTATAGACAATCTAGAAAAATTTTAAAAAATATTGAGTTTAATGAATATTAATGTACCAATTTCATATTCCTAATTTTGATAACATAATCTTTTTTTTTCTAATACCAGGGATTGATCTCAGGACCTTGCTACTTGAGAGGCAGATCTGACATCACTGAGCTAAATCCCCAGCCTGATAGATAATATAATCATATTTAACAGAGCTATTCAAAACACTATGTTTTCCTCCCTAATAGGGATCTTTCTTGATTTCATAGTAATAAATGATAAAATTAAGTGTATTGCTTCCATGCATACTTTTTTGCCTTCATTGGAAGTACATGTATCTGGTCAAATAGTTTGGTATTCCATGCTTTTTAACTGCATATAAATGGCAAAATGTTTCCAAAACTTTTTTTGCACGGTTTACATTATTAAAATTTCATCTGTATTTTTATGCAAAGTTTTCACTGCTTATCGTATTCACTGCTTATAGTATCTACTATAATAATATGTTTTGTATTCTACTTCTGTGTTAATTAATATTTAGGGAGACTCCTGCTTTTCACTATTTATAAAAAGTAATGTTTCTGTACATTTCTGTACAAATTTCTCTAGATATGAGTTTCTGCAGAGCAATGTTTAACAAACCTTTTTAATTTTTTTCCTAAGAGACTAAATACTTAAGTTTCAGGTATTCCTGGCTAAGAAGCAACATCAAAGATATATATATATATATATATATATATATATTTATTAGAATAATGACTTAAAGTGTAACTATTTGAAAACATAAAAACTATTCTTAGCTCACAGGTCATACATGAGCAAACAGTTTCCGTTTGACCCAAGTGCCAAACATAATTTATGTGCTCTGGCTTTAGAATGGAGAGTGCATATGGAACTGCTAAATCATAGGTTATGTACAGATCAGTTATAGAAGACATTGCTCCAAATCTCCAGAATAGATGAAGTAATATATTATTCTAAGTACATTAGGTATAATCTCAGGGTTTTCTACAACTTCTAAAACATATGATGATAAGATAGTTGACAATCTAAGGGGTATGAGGAATTATCATTGGGGATTTACTTAGCATTGCCCTCATTACCATGGAGATTGACTATATTTTAATATATTTATTGACCTTTAGTATTTTCTCTATGTAAAATTATCTAGTCATACTTTTGTCCATTTTTAAAGGGGATATCTCTTTACCTTATTTATTTGGAGTTCTTTATTCCATGTATTAACTATCTTTTCATTATGATTATGTGAATGTTATCTTTTCCCTATTTATCTTCTTTCTACATTTTATGAGAATCTTTTCTGAATATATGTTTTACATTTTCATGTAACGTAATTTAGTAATCTTTCCAATGTTAATGTCACAAGGTTATCATTTTTCCTGAAAGTTGTTTCACGTATACATAGTTCATCTATCTTAGATTAGTTTACATGTATGGTACAAGGAATAAATCCAATTATATTTTTTACTGTACTTTGCAAATGTAACCACATTTTTTCTTTGTACCAGGGATCAAACTCAGGACCTTGTGCTTACAAAGTAGGCATGGTGCCATTGAGCTAAATCCCTGGCCCTTTGCAACCACATTTTATAGCACCTCTACACTACAGTTTTTCATTAATCTACAATGTAAACTTTTAATAAATCAAGTTCCATAAAGTACAAATGTTTTATTCTGGTAATTTTGTGTTATTTGCTTGTTCCTATTGTTTTGCCTTATCCAGCTCCACAGTGTAATAATTACATTAATTTTATTGTAGGTGTTGATATTAAGCAAATATTTTTTCACTGTTTTCTTCCTCAAAGTTTGAATTGGTTGTTCTTTTTGCTATTTCATGTATAAGGACATGATTGAAAAATACAGTGTATGTTTAAATTTAAAGAAATGTAGTACAGTAAAAGATACACTCCCATTAATCTCCATCAAATTACTCTTTCTTGCTTTGAACAAACTTATCATTTCTGCTATTTTCTGAGAAGGTCTGGAAGTTCTCTTGTGTGAGATTCTTTTTACTAATCTAAGTCTACTTTCAAATAATCTTACTGTGCTTCATGTATAGTGCAGGTATCTTATATGAGTATGTCTAATCCCTGTCTCCAAGCCCTGGGAGATTATTGTCATTATTTTACTCTTTCATATGTTAAAATCATATGTTTAGCTGAATTAAGAATAAAAACTTCAAAACAGAAAAATTTATTGTATTTTCATTTATTTTTTTCTCTAAAGTTTGTGGACACGATCTATATCATTTTTCTTCTTCCCAAAGAATAAATTTTAACATTTCTTGTATATCAGGTCTGCTGGTGATGCATTCTCTCATTTTCACATCTTTATTTATCCTTCAGTTTTGAAGAATAACTTTATTGGGGATAGAATTGTATGTTTGTGCTTTGTTTCTTTCAACAGTTACGTTGTCCACAGTTAAAATTTTTACCCCTCTCCTTTGGCTACATAATTTACATCCTGCAGTTGAGTGTAATTTCTACCCTGTTCCTTTATAGGAATAGTGTTTTCTCTCTCTGATTCCTCCAATATTTACACTTTGTCAATGATTTAGTGAAGCTTAAAGGTAGTATCCTCAGCATAGATTTGTTCATGTTTACTTTATTTGATGCTTTCTGAAATTACTGGATGTGTAGTTTTGTGTTTGTCATTAATATTGGACAGTTTAAAGTCATTATTACTTCATGTTTCTTTTGCTTTTCTCTTTAGTTTCCTTCTTTTATTTCAGTTGCATGTATATCTTTTGAAATTTTTCTTAGGATTTTTGATGCTCTGGTCTGTTGTTTTCATTTTTTTATTTCATTTTTCCATTTCAATTTTGGAGGAAACTATAGATGTATTCAAACTCACTGATTCTTAACTCTGTTATGAGCTCATAAATGTAATTATTTATGTTAATACACTTTAAAATTTCTACCATTTATTTATTTTTTATATTTATCTACTATTTATTTTTGATACTGTCAGAGTTCTATTACCATCTTTTCTTGCATGTTGTCTAATGCTTGTGTTAAACTTTTAAAGTATAAATCTAACATTCTAGCTGTAGACACTCTAAATTATATAATA